TGACAAACAGGCTTGTGCCAGGCCCTGCAGCAGCTCCCACAGGGATGTCCCCGATGTCCCCAAAGCCTGGGACACCTCCCCAGGCAGAGCCACCCTGCCCCTGCTGCTCAGCAGCTCAGCCAACACACCCCCACTGCCTCAAAGAATCCCATTTTCACTGCAATCCCCCCTGGTTCTGGTGGAGCCAGAGCAGCCCCAGAAGCTCCCCGTGCTCCTCGCCAGCCCCACCCCAGCAGCTCTCACCAGGTTCCTCAGCAGCTGCGAGGCCTCCCTGGTGCTGCCCTTCAGCAGACAGTCGTAGGCCAGGCTCAAACCCATCTGGATAAACTCCTGCAGGCTCTCAGCAGGATGCTGCTGCCTTCGGAAGAAGATCTGGGCCTCTGGCACTTTGTTGCTCAGGATGGCCTCGGCAATGACCTCCTAAAGGGAAAAACAAGGAACAGACGGATCTATACCAGCCCTGTGCTGATCTTCTTCCCCTGTCCTTTAAGGTATTTCCACATAAATCATCTCCTTATATAAACTCCATCACAGCACTAAAATCTGGGTGACTCAGTTTCACCTCTGGTGTCAGTTTTTCCCATTCTTGGCTCTCTTCTATCTCAGGCAGGTCTTCATCCAGATCAGCTGCCGTGTGCCCTGGAGTCATCGGTGCTCGAGGATATTTCCTCAGGAATTTTCTCAGCTTAATGATGTAGTCAGTTAAAATATCTGCAGCCTTCTGCAGGAATTCATCAGGTTCTGCCAAAAGCACCCAAGACATCAATAAAATGGGAATGGACAGATTTTAATGTCTAACAATGCTGAATTAATGAATGTGCTGATTAATAAACAGAAACCCCTCGGAGGGAAGAGCACATCAGCTCTGTCCCCTGTGCAGGCAGTGACAGCCCAACACTCCCAGCACTCAGGACACAGCCACAACCCCACAGAGCTCCCTGCCCTCACTCAGGGGTTTTCCTGCCCAGGGACCAGTAAAGGAGAACTGAAATTTTGTATTAATCCAACCAGATATTAGTCAGGTAAGTCAAATCTAAAACACAGGGATGAGCATCTTTCACTCACTTAATTCTAGTATTTTTATGTTAATTCTAGGCAAATTTAAGCTTTTAATTAAAAGAATTAGCTGTTCTTACTTACTTAAATGATGACATACTACTAGACATGACCCAGCAGGAGGGATCTTACCCTGTGTGTGCACAAAGATTTCCTCCAGCTGCTTGGTAAGGAAGGTCAGGGTGAGGCTCAGGAGCTGCTCAGAGAACTGCTTGCTGTGAGGCTCCATGTCACTGTCCTGGATTGCTGAGCAGAGCAAGTTTAAAGCTGGCCTGAGCTCCTCCAGATCTGCAATGGTTCCACAAACAGTTCACACATCTGCAGCCCACACCCAGCCATAGGGAGAGAGGGAATGAAATGCACCTCGGTGTATTTGTCAGAAGGAAATGCACCTCGGTGTATTTCTCACAGTGAAATGCACCTCGGTGTATTTCTCACAATGAAATGCACCTCGGTGTATTTCTCACAGTGAAATGCACCTCGGTGTATTTCTCAGAAGGAAATGCACCTCGGTGTATTTCTCAGAAGGAAATGCACCTCTGTGCAGCTGCAGCTTCTTCACTTACTTCTCAGGTAGGACTGGGAGGTGCCATCCCCAGGGTGCTCAGGCCCAGGGCAGGGTGCAGACAGACTGAAAACACTTTCTTTGCTTTTTAAAAACAAGTCCACTGTGTCCAGCTGGCGATTTTCCAAACCTGCCTAGACAAACACGAAACAGAACAATCAAGAAGGGATCCTAAACCCATACACTGAGCACTTCCTGCTGGAATTCTTACTCCATCCTCAGTGACAAACTACAAACACAGAAAAGCAGAAGGGATTTAAACTCTGTGTGCAGCACCTGCAGCCTGAAATAACAAGGTGACCTGTACAGTACCTGGCAGGCTCCTTTGACCCCTGCCCTGTATCTTCACACACAAAATGTTATTGCAGCAATATACAGTAAATACTATGAGAATCAGGATTCTGAATAAGCTCACAGCAATTTTATATGAACAGTAGAGTAAAGCCAGAAATCCAGTTCCAAGGATTTCTTTTCATATTTAACACTTTGCAAGAGGACAAAAACTGCTGCAGAAATTGGCAAAATTGCTTTTGGGTCCAACTAAGAGGGAATTGTGAACACTGCTGCATTTTCTTTTAT